TGTATGAACCCCTCTCTCTCTCAGTGCAGTGTTCATGTACTGGAGGGTCCAGTCAGTGTGTGTGTGTGAACCCCTCTCTCTCTCAGTGCAGTGTTCATGTACTGGAGTGTCCAGTCAGTGTGTCTGTATGAACCCCTCTCTCTCAGTGCAGTGTTATTGTCTGTATTAACCCCCCTCTCTCTCTCTCTCAGTGCAGTGTTACTGTCTGTATTAACCTGTCTCTCTCTCCCAGAGGCTGTACTGACATAATTTGCTGTGTGTTGTTCTTGGCCGCCATTGTTGGCTACATGATCGTGGGAATTCTGGGTAAGCCGAGCGGTCAACACCCCTGTCTCTCCTCTTGTCTCTTCCCGCGGACGAGGTGATGGAGAGCCTCATCCTCTGTCTGTGTCCCCCTTTCTGTCAGCCTGGCTGTACGGAGACCCCCGACAAGTCCTGTACCCCCGAAACTCCACTGGCAGCTTCTGTGGAGTGGGAGAGAACAAGTGAGACATTTTCTGTCTGTCCTGTCAGTGTCCTCGTGTGTTTCTTGTCTGACCTCGTACTGTCTTGCTGGCTTTCATGTCTGTCTGCTGTGTGTGTGTGTACCGACTGCATTCTCCCAGTGTCTGTGTCCTGGGTCCTGTGCTCAGTCTCTCTTGGGTGCCAGTGTAACCAGTTGCTCTTGTGCTCTGTCTCCTTTGGCAGAGACAAGCCCAGTGTGCTGTATTTCAATATCCTGAAGTGTGCCACCTCTACTAACATCATGGCTGCAGCTTTGAATGGACTTCAGTGTCCCACAACACAGGTTTTTATAAATCGCTACTGTGTGAGGAGTGTCTCTGGGGTCTGTGTGAGGGTCTGGCCTCCTCTCTCTGTGTGAGGAGTGTCTCTGGGGTCTGTGTGAGGGTCTGGACTCCTCTCTCTGTGTGAGGAGTGTCTCTGGGGTCTGTGTGAGGGTCTGGACTCCTCTCTCTGTGTGAGGAGTGTCTCTGGGGTCTGTGTGAGGGTCTGGACTCCTCTCTCTGTGTGAGGAGTGTCTCTGGGGTCTGTGCGAGGGTCTGGACTCCTCTCTCCAACAGATCAGACCTGGGGGGGTTGTGTTAAAGGGACTTTGTCTCTCTCAGATCTGTGTGGCGACGTGTCCCAATGACTTCTGGATTGTTCCACCACAAGGTTACATGCAGCCCCCCAAAAGTGTCTTCCAGCAGCAGTACTGCGTCCCCTCCTTTAATCTCGCCACGACAAACATGGTACGTCTCTCTCTTCTTCCGCCGATGCACGTGGGGACCTTTGTGTCTTCATGTCTGTATTAACCCTTCTCCGTCTCTCTCTCTCTCTCGCCATCCCTCAGTCCACCAGTGACGTTATCAATAAGGAGCTGTGTGCCTATTTCTACACTCCGTCTTCCTCAGGTGAGAGGGTGGGTGGCTTGGTTCTCGTCTCGGAGGTGGGGTGGCCCCGTCGGTCCCTGTCTGAGCCTCTCTCCCCGTGTCTGCCTGCAGTTCTGGGGCGCTGCCTGCCCAGTATGGGCTCGCTGAGCGTCATCCCTTCCAACTTCTCCATCCCTGGCCTGAGCTCGGCCAACCAGACTGCCAGCAGGATCCGAAACGCCACCCAGTGAGTCTCTCGCCATGCTGGGCCGGGGGGGCGTGGTGTTGTCTGGGACAGGTCTGTGATAGCCCCCCTCTCTCTCTCTCTGTGCCTTAGAGATGTCGTCTTGGGGTTCAACGCCAAGGAGATTGGGGTGCGCATCTTCGAGGACTTTGCGGTGTCCTGGTACTGGATCCTCATGTGAGTCTCTGTGTGTGCGCTCCAAGGGTGCGCTCACACACACACACACACACACTCACACGCACACACGCACACATTCAGAGCTCTGAGGTAGAACTGTAGATAATGTGAGAATCCTCTCAGATGTGTGTCAGTGCACTGCCCTGCGCTGACGGTGTATTGCTGACCTGTAGAGGTATTAATCTCCTGTAGAGGTGTTAATCACGGTGTATTAATCACCTGTAGAGGTGTTAATCACGGTGTATTAATCTCCTGTAGAGGTGTTAATCAC